CTGCTCCCGTTTGCACCGCAAGGCGCGTGAAAGCCTCTCGGCCCCCTCGCCCCCGCTCCGAGTCCCCAGCCCACGGGGTCCGTCCTCGCGCGGTGACAAAACAGGGTCAGAAACGGCGGTGGAGGCCAGGGAGGGAACAGGCTCGCTGCTCCCTGCGCACGCAGCCGGCCGGCCGGAGGTGGAGGAATTTTGCTCCTGACCTTGAATTTTGCTGACCTTGGCGATAAAAAAAAATGGAGCTTGGGCATCAGCGTGAGGCAGGCGTGCGTGGCCGGGGCGGGGGCGAGGAGGGTCCCCCCCTGCCCCGATCAGTGCTCTGCGCTGCTGCCTGCACAGCGTGGAGCCGTGCTGCTCTAGTGAACCCCCTCCCCAATTCAGTAAACCCTTCCGCTAGCAAACCCCAGTTTTTCCTTTGACTCCCAGGGGCAGGGCCTCACCCTGTCCCCATCAGGAGCAAGGCGCCTGGCTGCTGCATTTTCCGGCTTTTTGGGGCTGGGACAAAGTCCCTTCCCACACCGTCTGGGTCTGAGGAGATGCTCACAGCCAGACTTTGTGGGTGAATTTCCCCCTTCCTTCCTTTTTCCCCTCTGCACCCCTCGCATCCGTTGTTCTGACCCCGCGGCAGCACGCGGGGGCTCTCCCATGCCCCCCTTTTCAGTGGGAAGGAGCCACACACACAAGTGTTTGGGAGGCTAGGGCTTTCTCCTTGCCCATTTGGGCACAGGGACAGCAAACCCGTTGGGGCTGGTCTGGACTGGGAAGGCTCCAACATCGGCTCCGGGTGCCTGGGTTCACAGAAACTGGCTCAGCTCTGCTCTGGGAAAGCCCCCGCACCAGGGGATAAACTGGGTGGTGCTTGCAGAGAGTTTACCTCTCTGCCACCCCTAACCCTGCATCTCAACTGGGGTAACTGGGAGCAAGGTCCGGCACTGGGAGGAGATCCCGGCTCTGCACAGTAGCCTGCAGCAGAAGGAACCGGTGCGTACGCCGCTGTGCTGTCCCCGAGACGTGGGAAGAGCCGGCGCTGGTGCCTGAGCAAATGCCCCCTCGATGGTCCGTGCGGAGGGGGGGTTGTGTGTAGCTGTGTGGAACTGGCACCCAGGGATCCAGGATGGGAATACAGTCTGCTTATAGAATCATAGAATCATAGAAACTTAGAATCATAGAAACTTAGAATCATAGAAACTTAGAATCATAGAAACTTAGAATCATAGAATCGCAGAATGGTTTGGGTGGGAAGGGACCCCCAGAGGTCACCCAGCCCAACCCCCCTGCAGGAGCAGGGACACCTTGAACCACATCAGGTTGCTCACAGCCCTGGCCAACCTGGCCTGGAATGTTCCCAGGGATGGGGCCTCCACCCCCTCTCTGGGCAACCCCTGCCAGGGTTTCACCATCCTCACTGGAAAGAATTTCTTCCTTAGATCCAGTCTAAACCTACCCTGCTTCAGTTCAAAACCATCTCCCCTTGTCCTGTCACAGCTGGCCCTAAATGAAGCGTCCTTTGCCTGATTTCTTTTTGCATGGAGTCCTGCAAACAGCCAAATACCTCAATAAAGCTGAGCAACCCATTTCATTGAAAACCATGGACACTCAGCCAGCATCTTTGCTGGGGCTCTTGGTATCTCCTGGAGTGCGGCCCAGTGCCCGGTTGGCTTCTGGGCGGCCAGCGCCCATGGCCGGCTCATGGCCAGCTTTTCATCCATCAGTGCCCCCAAGCCCCTCTGGGCAGGGCTGCTCTCCATCCCTTCACCCCCAGCCTGTGTGGGTACCAGGGGTTGCCCCCACCCAGGGGCAGGACCTTGCACTTGGTCTTGTTGAACCCCACGAGGTTCACACGCCCCCACCTCTCCAGCTTGTCCCAGTCCCTCTGGATGCCATCCCGTCCTTCTGGCGTGCCAACCGCACCCCCCAGCTTGGGGTCATCTGCAAACTGGCTAAGGGTGCGCTCGACCTCGCTGTCTATGTCGCTGATGAAGATATTAAACAGCACCGGTCCCAGTATGGACCCCTGAGGAACACCACTCGTCACCAGTCTCCAGCTGTTGACCACTACCCTCTGGATGTGACCATCCAGCCAATTCCTTATTCACTGAACAGTCCACCCATCAAATCCACAGCTCTCCAATTTAGACAGAAGGATGTTGTGGGGGGCCGTGTCAAAGGCTTTGCAGAACTGTACATAGATGATGTCCGTTGGTTTTCCCTTGTCCACTGTTGTTGTCACACCATCGTAGAAAGCCACTAGGTTAGTCAGGTCTCTACTGGCCCAGCCAACCCCAAAGCACCCCAACAGGAGGACTAAAAGCAGGGTGAGTTACTGCAGGAGTTTGGTGTGACCCAGGCAGCTGGAGGGAGCTGGGACGCTCAGGGAGGCATTTTGGGGACAGCCAGGGAGGGGAGGGTGCGGAGTCCAGGCTCATCCGGGCTTGCCTGCCAGAGCAGTGCTGGGCTCCAGGCTGTGCTGCTCCTAAAAGAGCGAGCCAGCACCCATGCCCACATCTCCTTGGTCTTCACCCAGTGAAGCTTATGGTCTGGGCGGCCAGCAGGGGAGGGACAGGGTGTCAGGCAGTGGTCCTGAAACAGTGGGTGAAGAAGAAGAAAGGTGGGAGGTGGAAGGCAGCAGAGATGCGGAGGTGTGACCATGCAGCCGCGGGTCCCACGGGGGCCGAAGAGCTTGGGAGAGGTGCTCCTGGAAGGCAAACTTGGCACACCTCAGAGAACCGAGATGTGTGGCCTGACGCTGAAGATTGCGATGGCAGCTGTGACACCACGTTCGCTGCTTTTGCCACCTCTGAATGTCTCTAAGATGGGTGGCGGGGATGCAGCGTGCACCGCCTTTTCCCATACATGAATTAGGAGCCCTCCAAATAAGCGTGTTCAGAACAAGCAAGAAGCAGTGGCTCTGGATATTCTTGCCATTGTGTGTTGCAGTCACCAAAATTCAAATTCAAACGAACCTTTAGTAGAAGGAAAAGTACGTCCTGAGCTGATACGTGTGTGTGAACCCGTTCTGGCTCAGGAATCCCCTGGACCACAAACTGCTAAGGGCTGGGAAGGTGCTTGAGGAGCTCACAGAGCATGCTTGCCCTGTTCTTACATTCCTTTGGCATCTGCCTAAGGCCACTTTTGGGGACAGGACACAAGGCTGGTCGGCTCCCCAAACCAGGGACCTCCTGGTCCCTGTGGTTTCCTTCCACATGCACAGAACTGAAGTGGGGCTGAGAACAACCCTGAGGACTCACCTACCCACCACCCTGCACAGAGCAGGAGCTCCTCTACCCAAACCACACCTGGCCTGACTCTCCGGGGAGGCAGAGGCCGGGAAGAGCAGGGCATCTCTGGAAGGTGCCTCCAGGGCACATCCCTTGCCACCACCGTCAGGGACCGATGGCGCCGTGCAGAGCTGCATCGCACGCCAGGGTGGACCCGGTGCTGTGGGAGTTAATGCATCTTCTCCGAGTGCCGAAAAACCAAGAGCTCTCGTGCTCCTGGGCCAGCCCTCTCCCACCAGGGGGTTGCTCAGGGTCCTCCATAGATCCTCTGCAGCGGTGAGCCCCGGCGGTGGGGAGCAGGCTGCTCCCTCGCAGTGGGGCTGGTGGGAAGCTCAGGGCGGTGGTGAGCGGGGTTTTTGCTCTGTCGTGGGTCCTGAGCGCTCCCAGGTGTGGACAGGGTCCATGACGCTTGCACCCACAAACAGCCCTGTCACCCTCCCACGGGCCAGCTCATTCCAGCCGCCCGGGGCGGGCTGTGCCCTGTCCCCTTCCCGAGGGCTGGCATGGTGATGGGAGAGCTCCCAGAGCCCCCAGCCCCCCGTGTCTCGCTGCCTGCCAAGGGGAGGATGCATCCATCCAGAGAACCCTTCTTTATGCCAGGGCAGGGTGCAGCCCCTTCTCCACGCATGGCTTCATGAGGACACCCAGTCTCAGTGAAGTCCTGGGGTGCATTTGTGGAATTCTGGGGAGCAGATCGAACTGCAAGAGTTAAAACGAGTCATGGCTTGGAAAAGCAGCCAAAAGGATTCGCACTCCCTTTTGTGCTCAGGCTCCTCCTGACGGGCTCTGAGCTTCACATGGACCTGAGCTCTAATTTGGGGGGTCTTGTTTCTGCTGCAGTGCTGGAAGCACGCCCTGGCCGCTGAGGGGGAGCAGGAGTCTCCTCCCTCCTGCCAGCAGGGTCCCAGGTCGTGCTCTGCCCGCTCAGAACCACGGTGCCCCCTCGCCCCGTGCCTGCTGCGGTGGCACCGCGCTGCTCTGCCAAGGAGGTCCCTCAGCCCTTCACGCTGACGCAGCATCCACCGCGCGCCATGCGTGCAAGGCACCCCCAGGCCTCCAGAGGAAGAGATGGGGCAGAACAGAAATTTTGAGTGATTCAGAACCTCCTCTGCCAGACCCTGTGCTCTCAGGCTGGAGCCTGAACGGGGAACGATGGCTCCGGTAGCTGGTCCTGCCAGATGCTCGTGTCGGCAGATAACTTTGTCCGGTAACACCTCCTCCTTCCCCTCCGTGGAGCACGGGGACGAGCTGTGACAGGATTCTCCTGAGGGCAAGAGACAATTCCCACACGTCAAAGGCTGTGGCTTTGCGCGAGCACAGGTGAATCCGTGGAGCTTGTTCTGTCTTCGCAGTTATCCAAGGGCGCTGGGCTGGAAACCTGCACAGCGAGACAGGGAAGGGCGGAGAGGTGCAGCGAGGAGAAGCCTTGTGAACCTGGGGAAAACCAGCAATATTTTCTGAGTGGATAGGTAGATCTAGGCATTTCTAAAGGTTTTACAGTTATTTAAGTTGCTTCAAATGCTTTTCTAGACTTAGAGGTCCTTCACGGTCCTTCAGGAGAGGTGTGAGGACCCAGGTTAGGTAGGCAGGTACCGTGGGGAGAGGACTCCAGAGGCTGCAGTCCTTGAGCCCTGTCCCCATCCTTCCTGGCAGCAGGAGTTTACAGAAAGAAAAACTCCTGTTGAAGCAGCTCCATCTCTCCTCCCTGTATTCCTGGTGAGGGGGTGTCCAGAGACACCCTGCTTTGCTAATGATCCCAGAATCCCAGAATCCCAGCCTGGCAGGGGTTGGCAGGGCCCTCCAGAGCTCACCCAGTGCCACCCCCCTGCCCAAGCAGGCCCCCCTCACCCAGAGCAGGGGGCACAGGACAGCGTCCAGGCGGGGGTTGAAGATCTCCAGAGAAGGAGACTCCACAGCCCCCCTGGGCAGCCTGGGCCAGGGCTCGGGCACCCTCACAGTCAACAAGTTCTTCCTCCCGTTCAACTGGGACCTCTTCTGCTTCAGGTTGTGCCCATGGCCCCTTGTCCTGGAGCTGGGCACCACTGGGAAGAGTCTGGCTCCATCCTCATGACACCCACTCTCGAGATATTTTATGTCCTTTTGTGCTTTTAATTTCCAGCTTGCCTCTATCCGTGTACAATTTACACACGCGCCTTCCCAAGTAATCCCTACCCCTGAGCTTAAGCAGATCCTTTCCCCCCCTGTGCTTGCCAGTGGCCCGTGTTTTGTTGGTCTGAAAGGGCCAGGCTGGACCGGTCTCCATTCCGAAGGAAGCTGCTGCATTTCCCCAGGCATTCCAGTGTCCGATCCATTACCGGCTCCTCTTCTTCCACCAGAGATTCCCAGCACAGCGCAAAATTCAGGATCAGCTGCAGCGTCACTTGTCCTCTCGATTTGCATTTGCACAAGCACTCGTGGGCTTTTTTTTCTTTAGCTGTCCCTTCCCCTGCTATTCCAGGCAGGCAGAGCTAGGTCCTGCCGACACCGGGCTTGCAGCACACCCCCGTGGTTTCTGTCCATGCAGGGTTTCCGTGTCCGAGTGTGCATGCAGGGGGAGGCCAGCACGCTCAGACCGTCGCAGCACAGCTCCAGGTAAGCTCTGCTGTAACACGGCTTCGCTGGTCATGGTGATGCCTCCCATCCAAGGCTTCAGACTGAAGGGCTCCTGGACTGTCCCTGCGTGTTTTGTGACCCTGCTGGCTCTCGTTCCAGGGCAGCTGTGCAGGGGTGAGATGGAGCATCCTTGTTTCATCCTGCCCAGGATGAACAGCAGCCAGATTAGGACCCTATCGTTCTTTTTGGGTGGCTTTCCGGCATGGGAAACCACTCAGACGTGGTCTGCTGCTCCTCACTGCTCTACGTACCTCCTGGCACTGCGGGGGCACTTGACCGCCCTTGCCACCACTAGGGTAGAGCGGAGCCTCCATGGCCCCATGTATCTGCTCCTTGCTATGCTGCCTGTGGCTGGCCCAGGCTTGTCCACGTCCACATTCCCAACCATGCTGAGGATGCTGTGGCTGGAGGCCAGAGAGATCGGCTTCAGCACCCACCTTGCCAGAATGTTCTTCATTCACTCCTTCACAGATGTCGATAGCGATGGCGTTCGATGGCTAGGTGGCCATCTGCCATCCCCTACGACATTCCTCCATCCTCACCAACTCAGTGACCACCAAGATACGTGTGGCAATCGTCATGAGGACCACCCTTGTCCAGTTCCCACTCCCAATCCTGCTGACCTGGCCGTGTTTCACCAGGGTCATCAAGCTCTCCCATCCCTACTCTTTGCATCCAGACATCACCAAACATGCAGGCTCCGATACGAGCATTAACAGTACCTATGGCCTTTTCATGCCACTCTCTACACTAAGTTTGGACTTGCTCTTTGTCCTCCTGTCCTATCTTCTCATCCTTAAGACCACCCTGAACATTGCAACTTGGAGGGGGCATCTCAAAGCCCTCAATACCTGCATCTTGCATATGTGTGCTGTCCTCCTCTTCTTCATCCCCATGATCTGCCTGTCCATGATGCACTGATTTTGCAAGCACATGTCCCCCCAGGCCTACGCTTTCACAGCCAACGTCCATTTCCTTGTCCCACGCATCCTGAATCCTATTGTTTACAGCATGAAAACCAAAATGATCCAGAGATGGATACTGAGGATGCTCTGCCGAAGAGGAGTCCGCAAGTCCAGGGTTGCCATTTGCCAGTAAAGCCAACACGATGGTCACTGCCAGCTGCCTTATGCAAGGCTCAACCCCCAAGAAGACCTGCCGGGAGAGGGAAAAGTGCCAAACTTCTGCCGACGCAAGGATATGTGGCAAGGAAGGGTATAAGGAAGGTAAGAGGCATACGGGAGCTAAAGGATATGTAGGTACCTGCAATGTACGTACCATGGTTCGTGAGGATATCTGGTTGACGGCTCTTCAACAGATAAATGGAGGCAAAAGACAGGAAAAATAACAAACCACACCGACATGCACAAGGTCCAAACCCCAGGAGACAGCAGACACAACACAGACCACAACCTTGAGGGCAGTGACTGAGGAGCAGATGGAGGAGCCAGGAGGAAAGGGGTTCGAGCAGAGCTGCTGAGAAGGAGGAAGGAAAATTGCCATGAGTCCCCTGGGAAAGAGCAGACCTGGTGCTGGATATGGGATGGGGCTTGTGTAGAACTTTATATGGGATGATTTGAGACTTGTGGGAATGAGCAAAATGTATTATGGGATGTTCAGGAGAAGGACCAAAGGGGAGGGGAAGGAGGGATCCAGGTGGACTGGGAAGGAACCAGCATGGGAAAATGGAGCGGGACTGCTAAAAGGGCTGATGGAGCATAAACCAGTTGCTGGTCAATGCACTCTCCAGGCCACGTACCTGGTGACCACAGCCTGTCCTGGCTGCTCATTGAACTCACTTCTGGCTCTTTCTGAGAGACCTTACTGCCTGTGCACAGGGGTACACGTGTCGGATTTGGTGACAAACAACGAGCTGGACTGAAGGATGGGAGGAGCCCAGAGCCCAGAAAGATCCCAGACCCCAGGCTGGATCTGGAGAGCGGACAAACAGAGCCCAAGGTCTGGCCATGGATCTGGACAGACTTCTGGGCTGCTCCAGGGTTCAAGGGACCCGCAGACACAAGGGCGACTGTGAAACAAGTGGGCAATGGTTGTGTCCTGCCCTGACCAGCCATGGAGGAGGAATGGGTCTGGGTCATGCTGGTCACGTCTACGTGAGCACTGCTGGCGCCGGCGAGGTGCCAGGGCAGGCACAGCTCTCTGTGATGGTTCTTTTGGCCACTTGGGACCATGTGTGGCCCCAGGGAAACCAGGCTGGTCCCTGGACATTTGGACTTGGTCCCTTGCATGTGAGGTGGAGGATGAGGGTGATCGGGAGCAGAGGGGACCGGCTTGGGCAAGGTTCACCCTCCGGCGTCCCCAACAGGGGGCTGATGATAGAAGCACCCCCCAGCTCTGCAAGGGGAACCCTTTGTATCAAGCGATGGCTTTTGGGCTCCCAGACATTAACCAGAAGTACTGCTTTCTCTCTAAAACACAAGTGCTTCCCCCCATAGGTTTTTCTTTTTTTAGGGACCTGGTTTAGTGGTGGGATGGCAGGGTTAGGTTAACGGTTGGACTTGATGATCTTAAAGGTCTTTTCCAACCTAAATGATTCTGTGATTCTATTCTTTGTTTCACCTGGAGCATTTTGCCTGGGTTAGGCTGCACCCCCAGATTTCTGGAGACAACTGTCATTCCTGAATTAGCATGCGTTAATTAGTATGGTGGAGGTGCTGTAAGGCACTGCAGCACAACGCCTCCTCAGACTGGCTCATTAGGACTTAGGAGATTGATTTCTTCCCACTTCAGCTGGTGGGGTGGCACTGTTTCAAAAGGAGCTGTTCTCCCCCAGCTGACCCGGAGGTGCCGGCGCTGTATGAGCTGACCACCCTTGGAAGGACATTTTGAAACTATTTAAACATTTAAGACCTTTGTTTTGTGTGTTTTCTGCCTGTGTTTGTTACAGACTGTGCACCCAACACATAAGAAAGACCAACGTGCCCTTGGCAGCACTGATACTGGGATCTATAAATATTTTAAAAAGTGGTCCAGTGGATTCTCCCAGCCTTGCCAGGCTCAGACCCCTTGGCATACATCTACATAACCCATGAAGACATATGTGTGCATCCTCCTATGTATAATGAAATGGCTAGCCCCAGCCAAAGACCCTGGAGACCAGTAATTCTGCTTCTTCCAGTACTGAGGTTCTGGGTTGTTCTGGTGAGGGCTTCAACCAGGCAACCTTCGCCCAAGAGCTGCTTGGCAGAGCCTTGCTCACGGGTGAGACCCGCTGTCCTCAGTCTCAGAGCTGTCCTCAGACCCTCTCCCTCAGGGAAGGGCTCTGCAGCATCGGGTGGATGGCAAAGGCTTCTGCAGGCTCCAAAAGAAGCAGGAGAAGTTCACAAGAGAGCAATCCTTTGATACCAAAATAGCGTCGCTGGCTGAGGAGCCCCCGTGCTCTTCCGCGTTGAGGAGCAGCGCTGCATGTTTGCCTTGTGCTTAAACTCTTCCCCGGGGATCTGCTGGTGGCCAGGCTGTCGGCTTCGACAGCGCTGGGACTGGCTCCTTGCAGCACCCCATGTTGGTGCCGGCTGAGCTGAGCCCCGCCGCCCCGGGGCGAGCCCTTCCATCGCAGCCTGGGAGCCCAGCGGCGTCGGAGCGGCCGGAGCCCGGCGGCGGCTCGCCA